TTTGAAAACATGCTGCTTCTTCGCTATTAATTAAGAGCACATATCTAGTCAACAACTTACAAAAAACTAGGGCTGCGCAGTGTTCTAATGAGGTCACATGAAAGTGGGTGAAAGGTATGAGTATGCACTGGGGTGAGCACCTTGCACCACTGCATATCACCTTGACCCACCTTAGAGCTGTTGATTCAATCAGCAGAATGTAACTTTTGTCGTTATTTTAAATAACAACTGAAGGTAAATTCTAATAACTGTTTAAAGCTGAGTGACAATTGATAATGACAACTACTACAAGTTTCTAGAAAACCTCTTGCGTGCTCAAAAACGCCAAACAAGTACAATACCAAAAACCATAGACTCTCTGAAATTTCTATAGATACTCAAAAATTAGATACATAGAGCAGCATAATCAATCTGCCATTCTGTCAACTCCATTGAAGTATCCAAGGAAAAAGGTAAAGGAAAGCAACTTGACCATCTTATCCGCAGGCAAGGCAACAGAAAATGTAATAATCCCGTAGACATTGAGGTATAAAATGTTGAAACGTTTTCAAATTGACGCATGCTCAGAATGCAAACTTTGATTTTATTTGGAATGGAAAAAAGGATGTCGATACTCGATAATAGCTTCCCCCATTAGCCTTACACAACTCGATTATTGAACTAGTGCACAGAATTGATGATTTCCTTTCACTATTTAATCTTTTGAAATGTTGCTACCTAAACATTTAATCCAGTCTTTACGACTTCCATTGGTCACTACACCTGTAATTCTTAACATTTATTTCTCTTGTTGTAATCAATAGCCAGCAAGAGGAAATATTAAATAGCGGAAAACGAAGTGACTTATGCGTTCTAGATCGCAGAAACTGCATAATATCTTGAATGTTATAACGTTATATCTTGAATGGAGAGTGATCCCAGTTTTCTAAGTCATATATTTTCAGAAATGGTAGCATAGTAGGAAAGGGATGTCATCTGAATATGTGCTGATATACGCAGCCTTTAAGACCATCTTTTCTGCCAAAATTTGATGAGCTTTCAAAAAATTGCGCAATGAATTCACATGGCAATTTACAGCTGGAAATACCATATTTCAATGGCCTGCCTCGTCACTGTGGTATTTGTAGACTTGTTTAGACCCTTTGAAAAATATTGCTTTGCGTGAATGCCAAGCTTACTTTGCCCATTGCTTTGCAGTCGATTCGTGAGTTATGTATTCGTCTCATTTCCACCAGCCAGAATTTATCACTGAATGGTTTCTAAACGTGCATGTTCCCATATCTCGATGTGACCGGTGCCACCGCAATTACAGTTCAGAATTATAGCTCGATGTGATTAGGAGTGGCAGCGTCGTCAGAGACCGGAAGTATTACGTGTAACTCAAGCCAATGTTACGTACTGAGAATCGTTTCTACAAAGACATGATTCTCTGCTGTCAGAACCTGATTAGTCTTCCAGTGCCCCAGGAAATAGCTCTCTATTGGCATGGAATCACACTGCTGAACAGCACGTTTTACGTTATCAGTATTCAACTGTACAGTGTGAACGAAACTCCAGGAGCATTTTTGATGGTGAACTGCATCGTCGCCTTGCTCGTAGTTGCATAGGGGGTCATTTGACCAGGTCACAGCTACGTAGTGTTTCAGCAACACCTTGAGTTCCAGAATCATCATGATGGGAGGCTTTAAAACGCTTTCAAAGATGCAAATCGTGTCGTCGTCTCGTAGGCTAGATCAGTAATTCCTATTATAAGTCAAATTACTAATTTTATTGATAATGACGTTAAAACAACGAAATGCTACGGCTTTGATTCATATCTGCTACAACTTCTTCGGAGTTCTCACATAAACCTGAAAAATTAATTATGAGTGCCACTACATAACATTTCCCAACAATTTTTAAGTCATAAAAAGCATGTAGCATCATATAAAGAAGTTTGTTTACTGGTCATCGATTCATGGTTAACTGCACCAAATAATACAGACGTAAACAATTTATTACCGATACTATTCGCCAGGCATGCAGTAGAATCATCAGGGTATAACCTATTATCAAGCAGCTGGCAACAACTATTAACTGGCTAATTCTGGTATAACTGAAAAGGCGCAGGCAAACATTTCGCTGAAATAATTAATAAGTTACAAAACTAATGGAGGACAAAACTTGAAATGCATAGATATGAACAAATTAAGTATAAATTAATTATTAAGTAACAGGTTAAACCTCGACAATATCCAACACTTAGCCTGAGGAAGCCAAGCTAACCTCAAAAAGCAAAATTAGTGAAGACGCTTTAAGCAGCAGATTGTATTCTGCTGTAAGTCTGTCTTACGTCTACGAAAACCTTGTGAATATTCCTATATGCCTGCTTGGTTCTCTACATACATTGAAGAACGACCTTTGTACGAAGATTAAATCTGTCAGAGATGCGCAAATCTTAGGAAATGACCAAACAAATCATGGATTATTTTGACCGTTTGTCCCAATTTTTTTTAAATCGGCTCACGACCAGTCTAACGAAAAGTTTCCAAACGCTGTAATGAACGAAATGCTAAGACTGAGTACGATCATCCTACATAGTTCCAATCATTCTCTACACAACAGTGTTTTCTGTTGCTGCTCAAACATATGGTACGTAAAGTTCATCTACGGAATCGCCTGTG